ACATTCCAGCTTTTCTGGTGGAGGAAGACCTCCGTGCATAGTTTTAGGCACAAACGGGCACCTGAGTAGAACTACCGACGTTTTGTAAGCTAGCTGGATAGCTTCCTCACATCAAAAGAATCCAAAGTCCCTGTCGGGATTCGAACCCACAGCGGTGAGGGGCAAGTGGTTTGAAGTCTTCAATTAAATATATCCAGAGATATTTGGATTTTAATTTAGCATAAAAAAAGCAAATATAATGTTTGAAAAAATGTTGACTTAAAAGTAGATTGCGATTGGCTGAGAAATCAGAAATGTCTCGTGTATAAACAGATCAAAAAATAGTTTGAAGGTCGATTATATATTGATAGTATTGCAGGGCTTTTTTTCCTTCTATAGCAGGGGCCGGTATAGGGCTGCTTCCCCAAAGAAAAATTCTTTAAAATCATGCAGTTTTCCCCAAAAATTGAATTTACATCAAGTTTTTTCTTCCCCTTTTGCAAATATACCGTGTATTTTTTCCCCAAAACTAAGGGCTGGGCTGCTTTCCCAACCTGTGAAAAAAAGCCCTGTATTGCGGAAAAAGTACGGAATTCTGGTCAGGTCATGTCTTACTTATACTGGGAAGCAGTGTTCCTATAGCCCTTACTACTAAATTTCTCCTTGGGCTACCAACTTTTCAAAGTAACAAGCCCGGTCTGGCTACTGTATTTTCAGAGGCAATATAAACAACTGTTTTGAACAAACGAATCATGCTAGTGAAATCATCAGAAATGTCTTTTGGGCTACTGAATATTCCAATCTGGTAGTCCGACCAGCCTAGTGGTTTCAAATCCGAATTTCTTACACTGCTGGGAAGTCAAAGCCCGAGGCCGCAAAAAGAACCACAGAAAAGGTACTTATTATATTGTACATATAGAGACGAGATTTTGCCCAGATATGAAAATAGCACAATATCACGTCTCGCAGTCAATTAGTTTGGCTACCTACGACATTACACTGATAGTCTGATATTTGTCTTTTTTAAACTCCGAACCAAATTGAACTGTTATCTTAGAAAAAATTATACCAAATACAAAATTATTCTAAATACATTTTTCAAAAAAAATTCACAATAACGATTGCAAAAAAACAGCAAAAAAAGTTATCATGGTCGAATCTCCACTGGGGCGAATCGTTGTTATCCAGATACAGCAAAGATACACAACTTCACAAGTGACATTACGTTCTACGAAAATAAAAACAAATAACACTCAGTACAATCACAGGTTCTTTTTAAAGAATAATAAACTTTCATACCCTTCTTTGCTACAAAAGCCGTAAATTTCACGACTTTATCCATTTTGTCAGCTACCGATTCAATCAAAGGTCAAATCACGTTTCTCAAACGCTTGCTTTCTAGTTTCTTAAGCGCCTTCGAAGCACGATTAGCACTGTATTGACAGTGGTACACAGTATATTTACCGATTATGTCACGCAAAGCTATCATATATGTCATCTAGAAGTTAGAACATAATTTGAAATAAAACATACGGATGAAAATTTTAGCCTAATTACACGGTCACAAGGCCGTTTTTGCGAGTTAGGCATTTACATTTAAGTGAAGATTATTACTGTTAAAGCCAGTAACAGATAGGGGGTGTTGAAGTCTTAGGAAGTCTGGCGGCTCTTCCCAGTAAAAAAATAAAATGTTCCTGTTAAATGGTGTGCAATTTTTAATTTTAAACAAGGGTATATTTTACCAACTGATGATTATGCCTTCAAGCTCCCGGAGTATACTGTATATGTATAGACCCTTGTTAAAGAACCTTTAAAGAGTTGCTTTAATAGTTCAGTACAAAATTTTTTTAGTTCTTCGATTGTGTTGGAAAGATTTAAGTTTATTGAAACACTCTCGAATCCGTCCGTGGAACCAACACGTACTAAGCAATGAATGTATAAATATATAAGTTTTCTTTCGTTTTAATCCCTTTCAATTTATGTAAACAATTATATATATAATGCAATATATGTTAAAATATTGAAATAAATATGTTTAAAGTAATGAATGTAAAGTTTTCTTGCTGAAGGAAACAACGGCCCTGTCCCTGGCAGGATTTGAACCCAACGAGTTGTTTTTGAAATGCTTACCCAGTATTATATTCTGAATCTCCTGTACATAAATAAAAAAAGTTCAAATTAAGATGCATATGGTACTATATCAGTACGTATTTTATATTTTAACGTTCTCTGCTGGTATGAGTGACGCTTTTCCTATAATCTAATCTAATCTACTCAGTATCAAAAGGTGCTACCTAAAATTATTTAACCTTGTTATTTATGCAATAAAATATCCATATATTAAAAAAATTTTTTTTTTAACTTGTTCGGTCTACATTTATAGACAATGTAACAAAGTTAAAAAAATATTTCTTTTTTAATATATGGATATTTTATTGCATAAATAACAAGATTAAACACATTTTAGGTCAAATCCATGCCACTAGCACCTTTGCTCAGTGAAAATATTTACTTGAAGCCAATTTAAGCTGATAATTTATAATTAACGTTCCTTTTTATAGAAATAAAATTAATAGGACAGGGCGTTAGATGGGTCATATCATGCAAAAGGCTTGGGTCACATAATCATCCAAATTATCTTGCTCGGGGAGATATCTAGGAAAAACCCGTCCTTTGATTTAATAAAATTATTTAAATCAATTTAATGTTTTAAAAATTAATTCCATCAAATTTTAAAGCGCTTTTATTTTATCAAATTTTTTCCCGGGTTTGGGGTGTTTTTTTAGCATATTCAACAGATTTTTCACCGAAGCCGCCATCTTTACAGGGGGAAGTGTAACACGTACCCGCCCCTGCTGTTCCCAAACACAGTGCACGTTTTTCAAAATTAGAATAATATTTAGGAAAGGGGTTTTTGTGGTCAAATTTTTTGTCTAAAGGGCTTATTTTTGTTAACCTATCATATCCAAGCTCTTTTGCTCATTTTCGTCTGTAACTTGTAAAATTTCATTTTTTCGGTCACATCTTTAGCGCACGTCAACAGAGGCGCCCAAGGAATTTTGCTTACAAAAACAACGAAAGCTGTGGTATGTGAATGTATTAATTGAAAATTGTTTGAGGGCATCCAATTATAAAATCTGTATTTATTTCAAAATTAAAATTTTTAAACATAAAATAGTCTATTTTAAAAGTAGTTTTTAATGATATCTGACTAGAAACTAGTTGTGTATATTTTAAGTCTAGTGTAATTATAAATCAGATTTAAAAATAACCTATTCAATTTTAACACAATTGTTTTCACCAGAACAGAATTTTAGATAGTGCTGCGCATTTAAATGTACAATTATCCCAAAAATGTAAATAGAACAACATCATATATTTATAATTAACAGGCTTTTTTCACAGATTGGAAGCACCCTGCCCTAATTTTAGGGGTAAATTACACGGTATATTTCCAAAAGGGGAAGAAAAAAACTTAAATTCAATTTTTTGGGAAAACTGGATGATTTTAAAGACTTTTTTTCTTTGGGGAAGCAGCCCTATAGCGGCCCCTACTATAGATGGGGAAAAAGCCCAATCCACGGGTATTTTTGGATTATTATAATTTTTGTACATTTTTCAGTGCTATTTTATAATACACTATATTTTTCTTATGATCCATTTAACATTCTGTTGAAGAAATTTGCAGAAAATGAATTTTTTTCGATGATCAAGTGGAAGATTTTTCTTCAAAAATAGGGAGATTTTAGAATTTGCATTAAACAAAGAAGGATTTTGTGACATCAAAAAGAGGGAGATTTCTTTAATTTGTGAAAATACCCCTTATTTTAAGAACAGTCTTTGAAAATATGGCTGCAGAAAGTGGGAGTCTCCGTCTAGCAGTGGGAGTAACACATGTATGCAATAGATTTCTTTGATGTTTTAAAGTATCCAACTGCATCTTGCTTAACATACATTTTTAGAGATTTTGTGACATACACATCACTGGTTTCCTAGCAGTTTTCAGCCCCAAATGGCACTTGCAGGGATTTTTTTGGCTAATTTTTATAGCTGATGTTTTGCCATATTCACAACTGAAAATAGTATACTATTTTCCCAATCCACAGGTGAAAATTCCCAATTGAAAGTTACAAAATAAAAATATTGAATAACAAATTCAAAATTTTTGGAAATAAGGGCTTTTTCACTGTTATGGTGCTTAAATGTTTGAAGATGCCATCCTAGACATCATGGCAAAATTTAAGTCATGCAGATTTTCCCTATTTATAAAAAAAACATCGCTGAAATCCCCAATTCTATGGGTATGTGTCCTGTTCCCAAAAATCATGGAAAAAAAATCCTGCCTTTTAACAAATAAAAATTTGTCTAAAGACGAGTACAAAACTTTGACAGAACAAAGTTAGGTACATTGTACCTGTCCAGCATAACAATTTTTCGATGTTGCTCATTTTACTTTACTTTATAATAAGAACATAGGTCTGAATGCAAATTGTAACACCTTTTCTTACTTTTATTAAAAATTTCACAGCAGTTTTCCAGACCTTTTTTTTTAAATTTAATTTAGTTCAGTAAGAAATATTAAAATGATTTCAACAAACTGGAAGATTTGAGGTATCGACTGGTTTCCTTATTGTTTATTTTTTAAATTTTATGGCAGCAATTTTAGCGTTTTGTCAATTTTGATTGCGGTCAACTTTGTAGAAAAAAAAAATAAATTCCAACAGGAGAAGGTTCCATTATTCATTTTTATGTTTTTTTTCTATAAGACTGTTTAAGAACAGGATCAGTCATCAATGGCCAGTGAAAATTAGTTCGGTTCCAGGTAAAAATTTCAAGAAAATTAAAGTTAAATACATTTATAATTTAAATAAATTAAAAAACGGGAATTTGGCCAGTAAATTCAAAATCTTAAATCAAGACGGGTAGTATATTTATGGTTGTATAATACATGATATTTTTACAGGTTGATAGACTCTGCATTTAGACTTTATCATTTTGAAGCAATTCAAACAACAATTATTTCCATGGAAACAAAAGAGTTACAAGTGATGGAAGCTGATGGTGTCAGTGAGGAAGATGACAATGTTAAGATTAAAGTTGAAGTAAGTACAATTGTCAGTGCAGTGATTTTCCTACTTATATAACAGACTCCGAAAAAAGGCCTCTTCCCAATTGAAATTTTCTTTAAAATCATGCAGTTTTCCCAAAAATCTTAACTTAAACCAGCTTTTTAAGTTCCCAAATCAAAAATTTTAGCGATAAGTTTTCCAAAAATCAAGAGGATAAGGCCTCTTCCCAATTAAGTGAGAAAAATCACTGCAGTGAAAAAATATATAACCTGTGTGCATAATGAATGTCAATCAGCCCAGTGATATTTTTTTTTAATTTTCAAAACAACCTGTGGCTTTCTGAAGGGGAAAATATAGCGTACTGATAAATCAGAAAAGGTGGGAATCATATTCCAACACCTGAAAATGGAATTTACCCACAAATCTTATAAAAATTTTCAATTTCAATTCAATTTAATATGAATGGTACATAGCAGAGGCTATCTATAGGAACTTCTTTTTGTCTTCTAGCTGATATGTTAGCTGCTGTTAAGTCATGGTTCTGGTGAAGAATATGCACAGGGCATTTTAGGGGAAAATATTAGCATTTTAGGGGAGAATATCACTATTTTGGGCTAGGGGAAACAGCCTTTATTCGGCTGTAAAATAAAGGAAATAAAATGACTGTCAGCATAAATATAGTCGGTACCTTCTGAACTGGAAACAGGGATTTTATTGGCTTATTTTATAGCTGTAATTGGGTCATATTCCCAATTGAAAATAGAATATAGTTTTCCCAATCCACAGGAAAAAAATCCCAATTGAAAGCTACAATAAAAAAATATTGAATAAAAATTCTAAAATCTTTGAAAATAAGGGCTTCTTCACTGTATGAGTGCTTAAATGTTTGAAGATGGCATCCTAGACAGTAATTGTTGGCATCCATTTAATCACTTTAAAATTTCAGTCATGCATTTTTTCCCAATTTTTAACAAAACACCACTGAAACTCCCAATTCCATGGGTATAGGTCAAGTTCCCAAAATCCTGGAAAAAATCCATGGGAAACTTATTAAATGATATCTCCAATATAAAAAAGATTTAATCATACCATGTCTGGGACTTTTCTGAGTGGTGAAGGTTGCCGACTTTAAATGTGGGTTGTTTCTGATCAGTGACTTTGGATTCTGTCATGTTAGGAAGTTATCCTGCTAGATTATAGAAGGTTAGTGATTCTGCTGAGGGTTTTCCTTGTGCCCGAAATAATGCAGAAAGGGGATCTTAAGTCTTTCTCCTCCAGTACCAGTAAAACTGGAAATTTGCTGTATGACCTTTATGGTGTCATTGTGATTTAATAAAAGCAAACAATTTAATTGATTTTGTGTTGCTTTGAAAATATGACATATAGGGGTTACTTTTATCGTCGGTGTTGGTGAACAAAAACCGGCACTCTGTACTTAATGATTTTAGAGTTATTGCCCTTTGTTGATTTTAATACTTTATTGTTGTCCCAGCCATTTCACCTAGGCTATAAAAGCTATGGACTTGAAACTACTCACATTTAGGCCTTGAGCTTAAATATTTTGCATTTGTAAGGCATTGTCTATGGGACCACTACCAAGATTGATTAAATTTTATTATAGCCCTGGGGTCAAAATTATGGCAAAGTTCAATTGTATAGAATAAAAAAAAATCAACTTCTGTTATATTAATGCATAGCATTTTTTTCTCAAATGCATTCTTGTTTACTAAGTGTATGTAATTGTAAATAATATCTTAGACAGATGTTTCTTAATATAACTTCAGGGTTTAATCTTTCGATGAGCGGACATATGTGCCAAGGAATATACAATCAATTTGGCAGAGGGTCAAGGGCAATATTTTTATCTACAGGCTTAAAATACAACCGATTTTAAGTGCATTCCAACCGATGTTATTGGTTGTCAGTCTGTTAATAATGAAAACCCTGTATTTTAATGTCAATTTGTATTGATACATATTATAATGTTGAAATGTCTTAATGCAATTAAGAATAAATTTTGCCCTGTATGATGAATGTTAATTTAGATAATTGCACACCGTATTACCGAACCAAGTCATGACAGAATGCTACAATGATGGCAGACATCTAAAATTTACTGGTTACCACATTAAGACTATAGTAATGAAATTGACCTTAATTTGTGTAATGTAAATATACCAATCAAATTTATAACATACTTGAAATTAACAGTAAATTTTATATTGTTACCTACACTACAACAAGCTGCCATCACTTGCGCCGGTAATACATAGTGAAAATGAGAAAATTTAATATATCGATGAAATGGATGCCCAATACCCTTCCAAAGGAGATTAAGATATTATTTATAATTATGCATTGTGTTGACTGCTTTAATAAGAGACTACCTTCTGCGTTTTCCATATAGCTATCTCTTAATACAAGATTGACTGTACTTTTACATTTACAGAACATGGAAGATGGCAGTACAAGAATTCTTGAATCAGAAAATGATAGCTCTCCTGAGAAAGTCAAAAGTCATGAAGTCAAAGAAGCTGACAATGTAAATAACTCGCATCCAGATGGCACAGAAAACTGTGAAATTAAGGCGGTAAATGAAAATGATGAAATTGTAGATAAAGAAACTAATAATGATAGTGACAATGATGACACAGATAAAGAAGTTACTGAAATTAATGACATGGAAGAGATGCCAGTTGCAAGTGAGTTTATAGAGTTTGAGTTCTCACCTATAAAGAAAGAACCATCGGTACAGAGGGAAATGAGTGCAAGCCCTGATGCGGAGGCTGTCATAGACCAGCTGTATGAAGCTGCACAGAAAGAAAACTCTGGAGAATTATCTAATTTGATGTTCAATGCTGATGATGATAAGGCTAGAAAAGAAAACAGTGCAGTAAAATCAGGAGAAAAGGCAAGGGTAGATAAACGAGGTGTAAATCAGAATAAAGCTATTATAAACTTACTGAAGAGAAAAACTCCTATTGAAAAAGAGCACATTGTAAGTGATTTTGAAATGAAGAAACGGAGAGTAGAAGCCGGAAATGTTGACTTTACAAATGTTAAAAATATACATAATATTGGATCCCTGCCCCTTGGTAATTTGATGTCTTTTGTTATGCCATTGGAGAATTTGAAACCTGTCACAAAAAAGAAAAAGAACCCATACAGAACGCCAACACCACCTAATTTAAATCCATCAGGAGATCCCATTTATGTAGCAAGGCACCATAAAACTCCTGTTGTAGATTCTTCAAAGCCTCAGAATGAGAACTCTGATAGAAATTTGATTGATTATTCTGTACTTACAAACGCCCTGACAAAGACTCTGGAGAGTAAACTTCAAGAAGGTGAAGACAATGATGTTAAAATTGTCATTTTTTGTAATAACAAACCTATACAGTCTTTCTCTGTCAGAAGTAATGGTAAGAAAGGAGACGACATGACTGCTTCAAAGAATCTACCACCTTCATTGTTGCCCCCTGCGTCTTCCAACTTGTCCAAATTCTCCTCTGAGAAACTTGCAAAGGCTGCAGATAATTCTGTAAAGTTAAATGAGATTTTGGTGCAGAATAAAACATGTATAGCTAAACAGATCAACCAAAATCAAGAGCTTTCCAGCATCAGCGGAGTTCCTAAGATTGGTGATGTAAAGGCTATATTAGAAAGGAATAAACGAATTGCAAATGAGAGTTTGGCAAAGTTTGCAACAACTCGCGCAAAGACCAAACGGATCCCAGATGAACAAGTTAATAAGTTACTAAATGAGTTAAAAACGAAGGGCAATAATGGTGAAACAATGGAAGCCTTACAAAAACAAAATTCGGATATTAAAAATGACTCTAAAGATGATGAAGACTTTGAGGAAAGTAATCTTGTGATAAATGACTCTGTCACGACAGATGAGAATTGTAATGAGAGTTTTACAGAGGTCAAATGCGATCAGTGTCCAAAGATGTTTAAGCATCAGAGGTACCTTAATAGGCACAAAATACGAGTTCATAGTACATCAAAGCAAACAAGCCAACTGAAAGAACCAAGGGGAAGTGTACAGGATGAATCTCATGATGATGGAATCAATAAAACAATAGCTGATCTGTTATTATCATCTTCTGAGAAAACCACTCATGGTGAGAAATTGGACGGAACTTCTGACGTGTCAAATGTGATAAAGACCGAGCCTGTGTCCGATTCTGAAGATCAGGAAATACAATCTTTACTTGCTGATGAAAATGTGATCAAGAATCTGATCGAAACGTCTGATGACAGTAAGTTATCCTCGTCCTCTCAAGAGAATCAACCCCCGCAGGTACTGGCAAAGGACCTTCTCGATCCTAGTTATAAGTCGAAAGTATTTCCATTAAACAGTATGCCACGAGTAACGGGCGATGGCCTAATTGAACCTGTCTATGTTTGCGAACAGTGCGGAAAGTTTTATCGTGCGCGTAAAACATTAAAAGATCACTTTTTACGAGAACATGCTAAAGACAAGGATGATGAGCCCCTGTATCTGTACATCACGGGGAACAAATATCAATGCCCAATCTGTTTTAACAATTATCATTCCGGTAGTGAGTTGGTCAGTCACACAAAGAAACATACAGGCGAGTTACGGAGTGTTTGTAAACTATGTGGTAAAGTGTATTCCTCGGTCCATGTTTTACGTCGACATATCGACAATATTCATTCCGACGTGAAGCCACGCCCATTCCAATGTGAGTTATGTGATTACGCAGCTACGAATAAATGGCACTTGAAGGAGCATTATAGAAGACATACAGGTTTGATTCTTATGTATATTTATAATACTGCACATTTGTAATGTCACTTTTCATTGGATAATCGTAACGTATGTATAGTTTTATATACACGGCTGTTGTAGATTTATAAAAAAAAGTCTTTCTTTATTCCTCTAAAAATTATGCTTGCTGTATTATAAATTCATTATAAATATTGCTGACAGGTTATATGGACGAATATAAACGATTGTTTGCAATATATATTACCCTTGTCTATCGGCTCAGGTTATATTTAAAAACAACAGTTTATATAGGGCCATATAACCTGTCAAAAATCTTCATAACTAATAATATAAAGAAACATTCAATAGCTTGAATGATCTCACTTTTTCATTCCATAAATTTCTGTTTTGTTTTGGAATAAGATAGTGTTTGTAATACTGAGACATTAAAATTAAATTGAGCCGAGTCATGACAAAACCAACATAGTGGGTTTGCGACCAGCATGGATCCAGACCAGCCTGCACCTCCGCGCAGTCTGATCAGGATCCATGCTGTTTCCGCTTACCAACTCTATTACAAGTAGAGAAACTGATAGCCAACAGCATGGATCCTGATCAGACTGCGCAGATGCGCAGGTTGGTCTGGATCCATGCTGGTTGCAAACCCATTATGTTGGTTTTGTCATGACGCGGCTCAATTGTTTATTTTAAGATATTCAATTCTAGAGCAGCTTATTTTAAATTAATTAATCTTCTCTTGAACCCAGTATTTAAACATATTTACACAAATGCACACTTAGTTTAATGTAGTGGTATTTTAGAATTACTTTGAAGATAATGTAACCATCCAATAATGTTTTAAATGTCAGCATGGCTGTGTGGTTAGTGCATCAGACAAGCAGTCTAAGGATCTCTAGCTATGTTGGTACAAAGCCCGTTGTTGGCAAACAATTGTTTTCTTGAGCTAGAAACTTAACACTTAACATTGCTCAGTACTGGTTGGTTCCATAAACTGATTCCTTAGTGTGTCTTATAAGTTTATAGCTTCCTACACAAACTAAAACAAATGCTATATAAACTAAGTATTGTTTTGTAAATCACAACCTTATTTGGGTAAAGGTCAAATTAAGAGGTAAAAAGTCAGTCTGTTTCTAACATGATGCTGTATTCAAACAAGTGACATATAGATATGAATAATTTCTGATTAAAGGAAAAAAAAGTCTGTCAATTTAAACTAGTAAAGTCGTGAAGCATTCAACATCAGTAAAGTAATTTATACCTTATATAAACTTTTGACCCAGGATGTCTTTCATATGGATACAACTAATGTTTTTTTGGCATTTGCTTTAAGTCCAGGTTTTACATACTCAATAAAGCTTTCTTTTATGTATAAAATAATTGAAATAATGCTTTATTCAGGATGTTCAGGTTTTCTTACTGTTCTCTTCTCTTTGAATTTTGTAGCAGTATTTAGATCACTTTCTGTGTTTGATATTATTAGTGCCTTTATATAATTTTGTCGGTAGTTTCTTAATAAAGGTGAATTTTTCACTGTGTATGTTTGAGCAAAAATAAGAAAACAAATTAACCATGCATTTTTTTTAAGGATTAAGAATATTTTTATGATAAACCTTCTTTTCCCTTTTATGCTTATGTTTAACACATATATGACTTTAAATTTGCAGGTGAACAACCATACAAGTGCCCAGTATGTGAGAAGCCATTTAGTCACCAGGGTACAATGAATAGACACTGTAAAACTATACATAAATTAGAAGTACCGTCACAAAGTGAGTCCTTTTCATTGAATTGTTTTATATGACAATTATGTAAATAACTAATTTATTGATTTTTACATAGCAAGTTAAAATTTTAACAAACAACAAAAAATTAGAGCGTTGCCATGTTTTGTGTATTTGTGACGTCGCAAGAAGCTAGTCGCTGGTGACATTAGTGACCTGGGTCACCTTCAGTGAAAGATTTTCTCAGCATAAATAACAGTTTGTAGCATTGGAAAACTCAAGAGTTTCAATAATGAAGAATTTGTTGGGGTTTTTTTTTCTATGTTTCCAATTTGTAATCGGATTTCTTTACCTCAATTTAATTCTATCGATTCAAAACCATATTATTCTGTTTACCTTATTTGATAAGATAAGGATTTAGAAATAGCACTTTTGTTGGACCATCAAGCGTCTCAGATGTCTTCTTCCTTGAAATGATAATTTGTTTACTCCCTCTTGATTTAGAAATCATGTGACCATTAAAAATTATGATCTCTTCTTTAATAAGTTGTAGGTAAGTTATTGATTTTTTTAAGACAATGTGTAAACAACAGTATGTACTTTCAACAGGACCTTTCATAAAGAATAACATCTCGGAACTCCCCGACTTGCCACATGATTCTTCGATGTCTGAAGACGGTTTTCCAATGCCAGATGGGTTTCCAACAAAGGAAGATATAAATCTTATGTGTTCGGAAAGTGAGATGCAGGGGACATCGTCCGATTCAGAGAAAGACACAGATCTTGATCTCTCTATTGTTAAAACAGAGCCGCAAGACGTAGAAGTAGAATGATTTTGTGCATGCAGTGATGTGAGTATAATGATTTGATAGATATGCCATTTAAAGACATTTTACTGGAGCGAGTTCCGCCAACAGGCGGAGCAGAGTATGAGGTGACGATTAACACACCAATTAGTAACATGTCATTTTCATTATGAGGATATTTGAGGGTCTGATGCCACAAAATTTTGTTAAGTGTGCAAGTAAAATGTTTGTTACTTAAGCTATTACACCTACCAACACTTACTGCCAAATAAATACTAATCAAATGTCAAAATAAACAGAAAAAGCCAGGTCAGTAGCAATATGTAGATGTACATTATAAATAGGTTCAGCAGTTTCTTTTAATTTTGATAATATGCTCAAATTTCATATTCGAAAATATTTATAATTGCTACACAGTCTCTTTGAAAATATGAAATAAACATATTTTAACTTGACACATAGTAGATATGCTGTGCTTTAAATTCTACACACTATAGGTGGTTTCAATATGAATATACACGTGTCATTAAAAAACTGGCAGCTTTTTTAAGAAAATGCCAATTTTACTAGACCTGTAATAGGGCAGGCAGCTTCCAATAGATAATTTATTCATTTTTGTGTCGCCTTGAAAAGGTGACATATAGGGGTTACTTTTGTCGGCGGCGTCTGTGTCGGCGTCGTTGTCGGCGTCCCCTAAAGCTTGTCCGGAGCATAACTCAGTCACTATAAGTCTGATTGACTTCAAACTTGGTATGCATGCTTCTTTCAATAACCCGAAGTGCAGTGCACAAGAACCGGTACTCTGCAGTTCTTATTTTTTGAGTTATTGCCCTTTGTTAATTTTCATACTTTAATTTTGTCCGGGCCATTTCTCTTCAACTAAAAAAGCTATGGACTTGAAACTTCATAGGATGATAGATCTCATTATTAAGAAGTGCAGTGCACAAGAACCGGTACTCTGTACTTCCTAATTTTTGAGTTATTGCCCTTTGTTAATTTTCATACTTTTCTTATTTTTGTCCGGGCCATTTCTCCTAATGTATAAAAAGCCATGGACTTTGAAACTTCATAGGATGATAGGTCTCATTAAGAAGAAGTGCAGTGCACAAGAACTGGTACTCTGCATTTCTTATTTTTTGAGTTATTGCCCTTTGTTTATTTTGCATACTTTAATTTGTCCGGCCATTTCTCCTTAAGTATAAAAGCTATGGACTTGAAACTTCATAGGATGATAGATCTCATTATTAAGAAGCTGCAGTGCAGCAAGAATCGGTACTAACTGCATTTTTCTTAATTTTTGAGTTATGGCCCTTTGTTAATTTTCATACTTAATTTTGTCCAGGCCATTTCTCCGAAAGTATAAAAAGTTATGACTTGAAACTTCATAGGATGATAGATCTCATTAAAAGAAGTGCAGTGCATAAGAACTGATACTCTTGCATTTCTTATTTTTGATTTATTGCCCTTT